TAAGCAGTCTTTTATTTTTGTATTTTTTTCATATAACGTTTCCTTCGTCAGTTGGACCAAATGATGCCAAAGTAGTTTCTGACAATTCAAGAATCAAAGCAATTTCACAAATCAAAAATTTGAATAATTAGTATTTAATAATCAGTTTTTCATTGCTTACAATAATTGTTATGATTTAAATAAATGGATATGTTTTACATAATTACTAATATGGCATCCAAATTTAAATTTTTAAATTTTTCTCATCTAAATTTAATTGGGGTATTAAAATACCCCCTGCCAATACTTGGAGCTTAATACAGGGTGGCGCCTCTCATACGACGTAGAGGCTCCAAAGAGAACGGTAGTTTATATCTAAATTACATTTTGGGAGCATATGTAGGTTAATTGAAGGCATTTTATAAAAATATATGGAGGTATACAGGGTGTCCCCAAAAAAAATTACGCTTCAAAGTTGAGTTTTTTGTAATGGAATACCCTATATATATATATATATTAATTGATTTTTGGATTCTAGAAAAAAAAAATAAAGGTTAGTTTCATTAAGGAAGCAGATGCTTAAAATTTAAGGATTTTGACATTTCACTGTTTGTGAAAATGAAGAGTAAATTTTAAACTTTATAATAATAGCTGCTTATATTTTAATTTACCCTGTATAGCCTGATATTTAATTACAATAATCACTGTATGTTAAACCAAATTAAAATTTGACCCGAAAGGTTATACAGAGTGAGACAAAATTAATATTTAATATTGGTCACTTTTAAAAGCAAGCTACTTCCTTATTTTAAATAGAACAGCCAGTATATTATACCTGTATTCAATGGAGAATTCATATATCTTTATAATACTATTAAGGTTGCCTAGCCGTCAGATAAAGATTTTCCTAGATATTTTCACTTTTATGTCATCATATTTTATTTATCTTCTTTATTTGATAAACTCTAGGTTGCTGTGATATACCTTTTGATAATTTAACAAAAACTAAACGATGTAGTTTCCATTCTTCTTTTTTAACTGACACAAAATGATAACTAGTTGTTAAAGTTGGACTAATTAGACAGCTGTGTTGAAGTAACGTCAGACATATCACAGCCACCCAGATTTTATCAAATAATAAGGATCTACTGACACTAAATCATAAAAATGAAAATATCTAGAAACATCTTAGTTTGAGGGGTAGGTAACCTTAATAGTATTTTCAAGAGACAGAAATTTTTTATTGAATATAGAAATAATATACTGGGTGTTCCATTTAAAATAAGGCTGTACTTAAACTGCCGTTAAAGGGTAGCTTACTAAAATGCCGTTAATAGGTATGACGTCGTTGATGTGACTCACTTGACGGCTTTATGAAATATAGGAATTTTATAAGGACCAACCAACGCTATCCACCCCTCCAAATCCAACTTAACCAACGCAAGTAACCTCGACACTGATAAAAAATATAAAAAACAAATATAAATTAGTAAAAATCAACCAACCCCACCAAATAACCAACTAACCAATGAATTAACACCCTCCAAATAACCATGCTAACCAAAGAGTGAAACCAATGCAATAAGATCACGCTATAAGCAAAAAAAATATAAAAAAGTCTTGGGCGGCGTGAGATTTGAACCACGGACCATTCGCTTACGAAGCGATAGCCTCAGCCACTGACCCACAGGTGCTCTTGCAAAATGCTTAAGGTTAGGCATTACTTTCCGCCGACATGAACGACGTCACAATATCTATTAACGGCATTTTAGTAGGCTACCGTTTAACGGCTGTTTAAGTACATCGTTAAAATAAAAGAGTAATTTGTTTTAAAAGTGGCCAAAGTTCAATATTAATTTTGTCGCACGTTTTTGAAATTTAAAAATTGTTCTTTATTTTTAGAAAATGTTAAATATGTCAAAAACCTTACATTTTAGTCATATTATACTTCTCTACTAAAACTCACCTTTTTTTGTCTCCTAGAATCCGAAAATTAATGAATATATAGAGTGTTCCATTAAAAAAAAACAACTTTGACATGTAACTCTATTTGGGGACACCCTGTAGAACTCTCTATATCTTTAAAAAGAAAGCTCTGAATTAATCTTCATAATATGCTCACAAAATTTCATTTCAGTATAAACTGTTGTTCTCCTTGTATCCTCCGTATGAGAGAATTTAATGTAAGTTAAATAAAGACAATAGGAGTTCAAAATTATTTTAATATCAATGTTATCTAATATACCATATTCAGTAACAATTTATTTCACATAACTCTGCTATACAACACAATTCCAGTTACATATCGTAGAAATTCTCATATTTAAACAGTCTAAAACAAAAATTTATAGATAAAATTAATATTTCTTTACACGATTGTTTGTGAGAAAGGCTACAAAGCGCATTATTAGGTGAAGTTTCGTTTATGCTATAATTTCCAAAATAACACAAAGTTACTCTCTAACATCTTTGTACGAAAATTTCTTATCCAAATATTAATAGTGTATATTTAATATAGGTCTCAGATCATTCATTTGATGTATCTGAATTTTTAGTCTTTCTTCTGGATGCGTGTATGAAAGTGTCGATATGATGTTATTATTTAAAAAAAATTATACATTTAATTTCGTTAATTTTTTTACTAGGATAAAATATAAATGGAGAAATCTCATTATGTTTTATAAAAAATGGGCCATCTTTGGTTGTACAAGAAGCATTTAATTGTTGTGTAGCACAAGAATTTTATTATTATATATCATATACAATATTTCTTATAGTTCCTTATAAAAATCTAATCTCTTCAGGTCTTGCAGTCTTGGACATGGTCTTGCATAAAAATCAATACAAAGACCAAGATCGATTATTGCAAAATTTAGATTTTTTTACGTTTTGTATTTTCATCTAACTTTTCATAGAAAATAATTAAAAAAAATCAATATTTTTCTTGACTATTCTCCCCCTATAATTTATTAATTAAAAATAATAAAAAAGTTTCTCCGGAACTATACAGAGTGAGTCTTAAATACGTGCAAATATTTTCAGGGCTGGTAGATCTCGATAGAAGAAACATATTTTCTCTTTACCGTTTTTCAAATAAGCCTAAACTAACCCAATATTTTATTTTGAAAATTTCAAAAAAATTGGATTTTCGCTTAAATTTTGAGAACCACTGGATCTTTTCTGTTTTTTTTTCTTGTAAATTTAATCTACTATCTATGTTATCATATTATGAAGATACTATGTTTTTAATTAAAAATTCAAAATTTTCAATTTTTTTGCGATAATTAGTCTTAAATAAGTGCAAATATTTACAGACACACGATTATCTATGAGGTTTCTTTCGCGAAAAAAATATTTGGATATTTTAAATTTTTGGAAAAAAAATATATTTTTTTAGTTTTTAGTTAAAAAACATATTTTCTTGATAATATGGCAACATAGGTAGAAGATTAAATTTACAAAAAAGAAAATCCAGAAAAGGTCCCGTGTTCTCAAAATTTAAACAAAAAAATTATTTTTTTTGAAACGTCACAAAAATATTAATTTTTGCGACGTGATTGACAACGTAAAGAAGTTTTTAACGCTTAAGCATAAAAGTAAAGCACTGTTACGCCCCACAGTAGAACGATCGTATGTTTGATGTTGGACATAACACTTAAAATCGTATTTAAACTTTTAATACAAATTTCTTCAAATACATATTTAGAAGGCCATAATTTAATCAACTAAAATCGAATTTTATTGAAAAATTCACCTAAAGCTATATATTATGGTATACAATATATGCGTTTCTTGTTAAAGATATTTAATATGTGGGATGTTTATAGAGCAAATTATGGATTAAATAAATGACTTAATTCATGTGCCCCATACAAAAGTTTTAGCCCATATTTTAAAGAATAATTTAAAAGAAATTTTGAAACACTTGGGTGTTTATTTAACTCTATTCTCCGTGAAAATATACATTTTTCAGCGAAATTTATTACAGTTTGCATCTTTCTTTCGTAATTATCAAAAAGTCCCACCGAGTCCCGATTATTTGTTGGTGGGTATGACTTCTCTATTTTATGCTAAACTTACGAATATAAAGTTTTTTTGCAGCCGATGGCTATGGAAAATTTTGTATAAAAATTTAATTTTTTGTGATACACTATACAATAATTAAGGAATTATTATTATTGAATACATGTTGGTATTAAAAAACTGGACAAATCGCAAGGTCATAATTCATATAGAATTAAAATATGACAAAAAGTCCATTAAGTTTTGGAATAAGTATGAAATTATGCAGTTTAATTTGTAATAGTCAATTTAATACGCAAATTCAAAAAAAAATATATATTCTGGAAAAACACCCCTGCACTATTCAGTAAGTTATCTATAATAAAGTTATGACTATTTTTAACAAATTTGGAGATTTTTGAACACATTTATTCAAAAAAGAAAATAGAAATTTTGCATAATTGCTGAATGTCCAGCAAATAGCATTGCGTCGATCCACTGTGCGCCCGTTACGCCTAATCATAAAAGTAGGAAAATATATTATTAAACTGACATAAAGTATCAAATTCAACTAGCGGAACCATAGCTTCTCGACATATAATTACATACCAGGAATGACTTTTAAATATTTTTGTAATATTTGGAACGTTTGAAATTGTTTAAAATTATTTGTGGCGCTTGAAAAAAATGGCATTTTCTATTCGGAGTAAAAATGACTTTTTGTGCTTTGCCTGAATGTGAAAAACGTACGCCGCAAAAAGTCAAAAAGCATTTTTACTCCTAATCAAACAATATACTATTTTTTGAGATTTTCAAAGTAAAATAACTCGGTTATTTTGGACGTATTTGAAAAATGGTAAAGAGAAAATAGTTTCCTTTATCGAGATCTACCAGTCCTAAAAATATTTGCACTTATTTAAGACTCACCCTGTATATCCAGCCTTTCTAAAACCATACAAATTGTTGTAAACAAAATGTGACATCGAATTTGACAAGGACAAAGGACCAGCAAAATCAGATTTTTGCTGGTATTTTTATTGCAGCCAGTGGGCCGTGTGTACTGTAAATTTTACTAATTAGAAGGTAGATTTTTGTAAATAACATTTAAATACCCAGTCCTAATAAAACACAATTCTAGGCGAAAATACAACTTTAAGGCCTCTTCAAAAAAGTCTAATACAACATTTGCATAAAATCATCTCGGAAGAGATAATATTTGATATTTCAAAATTTACATGAGATGTCCCTTGTTCTTAAATTTTAATGAGATTTCTAAACCCAATTTATAACATATATCATTTCATTACTTCTAATCCCTTCTATCATATCGAAACTTTTACCCACGCCCCACCACCTTACCTACGTCACATTACCCTCCTAGATACAAAACCGGGAACGGAAATACCTCATCGTCGTCCTTAATCAACAGTGTCAAACCTCGCACTCGCCGATATTGTGCCTGGCCGCGGACCGGTTTACCACGCCAAGATGGTAGTCCGCGTTTATCACTAGGTCGGCTATGCAGCCTCGGATACCGCCCTCGTCGTAGCCGGTGACTGGGCCCACGAGGCGGTGAGGCATGCCTCCGATGAACAGGCCCTCCACCTCTGGGGGGCCCAGCGGTTTGTCGGGGGGCCGGATCTGGACAGATTGGCGGGTGATGGCGGGGCCGTTGTCGACTATGAGGAGGCCGGTAGATCCGTCCCTGGTGGAAGAAGAAAAGTTAGTTAATGATGTTAACATACTTTTTTATACCGAAACAGAAAAATGAGTTGTTAACATTAAAACTAGTTAGATATGACACACTAGTTAGAAAATTACACAAGAAAATACTATTGTTCATTCATTGGCGTCCAGAAAAGTTTATCCATAGATTGTATTGTAGGGGGGAAGCTAATCACTGCGACTTTTTTTTTAATTATAACTCATCATACAGTCTCAGGACTTTGACGAAAGCAAGCATCTGGGACGGTTTTAAAGAGGTTAGTTTTTTTATCTACGATATTAGTCGAACCAAACGGTTGTTGGTTCGGCACGAATGGTTGCCGTCTCGGTGCGGCGCACTCAGTGAAAAGGTGTGTTGTTTCCCTATTTTCCCTACAGAATCTGCATTCGCCGTTGTTTCTAAGCTTCGAGCTACTGAAGTGTTCTTTGAAGAGACAGCATCCTCTTAAAAACTCCGTGACAATCTGAAGATTATTCTTACTGAAATGAAGAAGAATCTTTAATTTTTCTCAATCCAGTTGGTGGAGTGTTCGCTCCTTATCTAGCTACTTAGATAGTTTGCTTTTTCATTATATTCCATGCCTTCGTTGCCTGGCACCCACAGTAGGAGGACAATGTTTTTTGCCTAATTTGTTCAGCTTCTCCAAGCATTCTTTGACCAACTCCGAATTGACGATTACTGAATTGATCATAAGATAGCATTTACATAGTTCAAAAGGTTTTGTCAGGTTAGATTTCTTTATATCTTCTTCACTTGAAATATTGAAGACCCTCAATGTTGGGATAATGACTTTTTCATGTTTCCCAGCAAAGCTTTGAAATTCTTCTTTAATGGAAGGAATTTTGAGAACTCGGTGAATAAAAGCATTTCGAGAGTACCACGGAGCTTCAAGAATGCATCCTAGGACATTGTTTCGCTACTTTAGAATTATCATTTGAGTCTCGTGTATGACTCGTGTATCCCCATAATTAAATGCCGTTAGTCCAGAACTGGTTCTTCGATATAGTTTTTGGCAACTTGAAGTGGTCTTCCAAAAGTCAATAATGTTTCAAATTTTGTTATGGATAATTTTAAGCGCTTTCTTTATATGTTCTTTCATGTCAATTTTGCTTCCAAACTCATTATATTGTACTTGTATAAAATTTTAAATAGATTCATTTAATGAGTCACCAAAGACAGTTTATATATTTTTGTTTTTTTTTAGTTAAACAAACATACTTAATTGACCACTAATTTTTAAATACAGCTGATATAATTTGTATTCAGAAATAAATCATTAATTGATGATAAAATAATTATAGGTTCTGACCTAAAGCAAAACTGGCTTATAACATATCGTAAAGAACGAGAAAGTAGGTAATCCGAAACCCGAAAAAGGCACAGATAAAATAAATAAAGCCAGATCAGGATTGTCTCCGAAAAGTAAATCTAGATGACCGAACATTAGCACTACAAGGGTGCGTAATCGTTACAGTTCAAGATAAAGAAGAATAAAATATTATTTTACTTTCAGTTAAATGGATTTAGGAGACTGAAATTGAATAATATAAATGAAATGAAAATATACGAAAGCACATGTACACTTTTTTGGTAAGTAATAGTTTAAAAAAATATACTGTACAGGGTACCATACTTAGATCCTGATGACTAGGATCTCAGAAACCAGAAGAAACTTTGCCTCCATTTACCCGACCACATATTGTTTCTAGTTTCCAAGGTTGCAATAATAAATCTTGAATTTAGGGACCCTATACAGCATGTCTTATACAGTTTATATTAGAACATTTGGCCACACCTAAAACAATAATTTTAACTCAGGATGCGCACTTCGCTAACCATATTCGCAAGATCAGCAAAACGCGAGTTCAGTTCTAGAAATGTAGTGTTTGATGACAATTGATGATTTCTTAGATTCTTTGAGGTAACTATCGGCCTGTTTTACTGCGACCTTTTAATATGTATTGTGGTTCTCTTCTGATCCCTAGGTAACATTGTCCAGCAACTTGGAGACTGAACCCTCCATATAGGTCTCTGTCAATGGTCTATTTAGAGACTTGGTTTAAGTTTTAACAGTTTTGACTGAGTTATTCACATTTATTTGCAAACATTTCTAGGTTTCCTTGTTTCACATTTCTACTCCACAGCTCCAACTTTCTACAAAAAGCACTAATTTTATCACTGAAATCCAACATATGTGTGTTTGCTCCTTGGAGTTGTAGAATTCAGGGTATTTAATTTCTCGAATAGGTCGACAATGACTTAATTTCATCAAAAATAAAGTATCTCGAAGCTTTTCGGCTTCTAGATTGTTTTCTTCTTTTGGAAAAATGGCAATTTCCTTCTTTAACTCACAAACACGCTGTAAATATTTCCCAAGCAATAGCCATCTGGTTTCGCAATAAAATAGCAACGTCGAATGTTCTGCACCTATATCTTCGCAAAGTACATTAAAATTCTTGATTTTAGGGGTCTCGTGTGTGTGTTTTTATAATAATTGACTACAATTATTACAAACCGTCGTTAGCACAATGTTGATACAAGTATTCTCTTGACAGGTAACCCTCATTCCCTGGTACTCAGGCTAAAATGGTGTTTTTTGGTTGGTATATAGTAGACACAGGTGCTCGGTGGCGTAGAGGTACAGGCTCTCGACTACCAATCTCAAGGTAGTGGGTTCGATCCCCACACCCGGCGTTGCATCAGCCGACTATTTTTATAAAAATAAAAATAGTTTGGGTACCTAGGTCCACTCAGCCTTAAATGAGTACTTGGGATTCACAATCCTGAGGTAATAATAGGCGTTTGAAGCGTAGTGCTAGCCACATTACCTTCCTTGTATACCAAACGGCTCTAGTATGGCAAGCTGTACCTTGCTACTCCCAAGGCGTTAAACGCTATATACGGGAGCTATTATTATTATATATAGTAGACACAACTAGTGTTTTATTTTGATTTTTACGCTTTCTTTAATCTTAAATATCCTTACAAAACTCTTCTACTCTTTATAAAAAACCTACAAAAAACACTAACAAATTAAATCAGAATATTTACCTAACGGCCTTCACTCTGTGCCACAACCCGTCGTGCACCGTACTCGAATTGTGCACCACCAGCAACTCCTCCTCCCTATACCTCGAGCTGAACCTCAACTCCAAGGCGCCCCTCCTCAGGCCCAAGGACACAAATCCGCTGCCGGTGAAAGCCCACAGCAGCAAGCCCGTGTCCGAGTTCGATTTGAACCGGACGTTTATGTCCAGAGGATCCGTGGATATGGCCTCCATGGTGGTCGCGTCCTTCAGGTGGAAGAAGCTGTCGATGCCGTGAAAGGAGGGAGGGCCACGGGAGCACAGGTGGTCTCTGTAGCCCGGTTTGCATCTAGAAAAATAATTTTGTAGTGAAATGAAGTGTATGGTATTTGACGTTTAATTAAACCAGAGTGGCCTAGAGGTGCCTATCATTTTTGGTAAAACTCTTTTAAATTGGATTTGTAAGCCGCTTATAGATTTTTATAGAACCATTGTGTCTAAGAACTTGTGGTCCCTAAGTTAGAATTTTGTTGAGGACAACACATTACAAATATAAAAGCTACTATAGAACTTCAGAGACAAAGCTTTTTAGAGCAGTTAAAGCTTTGCTTATAATATAGTTATATCGAGTTATAATAAAGCTTAATTTTTTTTGGAGACACTGATAAAAAAGATAGACTTGAACTAAAGTCGTCATCGTTCTTGAAAAAAAAAAATTAGTGGCAAAAGAATTTATTTTAGCGTAAAAGAAAATATTTTGCCTGAAGAAAAACTCTCTTAACTCAAGAAAACTGGTTCTCTTGAAAAATTCGAAAATTTCTCTTGAATCTATTTTCATTCAACTAAGTGTAAGTTACTTTGTTTTAAGATAATAAGAAAAATACGCTAGGAAGTACTTCATTCAAGAAACGTGGCTATTTTTCCAATAGCTAAATACTCTTTTGATGAAAAATAATGACGACACTCAAAGACGATGACGAAGGACGGTATATACAATCAGTCGTACGTAATATCATTTCAGAGGTCGCACATCATAGTACGCACAGGTTTTGTTGCTTGGAATTTTCCACTTGCAATTTTGCATAATTTGTTTTTTAAACGCATATCGTATAACAAATTAATTAGTGATCGTTATTAACATGCATTTGTCATTTTTTATGGACAAATTTTAGTATATATGGATTCTTTAAAGGAGTTTCTCAAAAAATGGAAATTACAAACATTTGCTATATTTGAAGGTAAGAAACATTTACCTAATGCACCTGTTTAGATAATGCATGCGTGACTATAGATAGAATAAGAATATAGGTATCGATTTTCTTATGCCTATAATTACAAAAAATTTAGAATTTCAAGTCGTCGTATTAAAAAATTCAAAATGTGACGAAAGCTAATAATTTATTTGCTTTACTTTGATTAATCGTGATGTAACATTTTTTTGTAATTTGTAGAGCGATGAACCACCCCAAAAAATACCAAGGAGTGAAGAAGCAGAAATAACTACTATCGAGGAAAATAATATCCCTTTACTTACTACAGACCAGGAAAACCTAAATTTATCAGAAAATAATATACCTCGTAATATGCCTGTATATGATGTATAGACTTCTCTTAGATCAAAATAAATTTTAGTTGAGTCAATAGTATTCGCTATTGGTTTAAGAAAAGTGTCTCTTTAATCAAGAAATGGTCCCTTTTCAATCAAGAATTTTTGCATGAATCAAAGAGATTATTGTTCTTGTAGGAAGAACTTCTTTGCATATTCATTTTGGGTCAAGAGTGAAATACTTTGGACAGATAGATTCTTCTATTCTCTAATAGCTATTTATGTAACTAGTACCTAAAATGATGTTTTTTAGGACGAATCATTACTGTTTGCGGACGAGGCGTTAGCCGAGTCCGAAATAGTAGATGAGTCCTAAAAAACATAATTTAGGTACGTGTTACATACACTATTTTTTGTCATACGCTTTTTACAGTTTTTTAGAACGCATATTTGCAAATTTTCCATATTTGAAATTATAATGTTTGAAAAAGTTGGCTTATAAATTCATATCTTAGTAACGAGTTTGTTTATTTCATCGCATTTTGACATGCCATTCGAAATTTGTCACAAAATCACACAAATTCATCAACAATTTTAAAATGTTCCAAAATCCCGAACATATTGCTAATAAGGCCAAAGAAATCGTGTTGGATTTACTTCCTGTGAAGTCTCGTGCCATTTACCAGAAAGAATATGATGTTTTTAATGAATGGAAAGACAAAAATGGCGTATTCGTTGTAAATGAAGATGTATTGCTAAATTATTTCCACGAAAAAGTAAGTACCTAGGTACCTATTTAAAAGAGGCTTTTAAATTAAAATATTCTTAAATTACAGTCACAAACATTCAAACCATCGTCAATTTGGTCGAAATATTCCATGCTGAGAGCAGTGTTAAGTGTTAAAGAAGATATTTATATTGACAAATTTCCAAAACTTATTGCTTTTTGAAGAGGAATTCGGTTGGTTACGAGCCTAAAAAGTCTAAGGTTTTGTCCATAAAAGAGATCGGTGATTTTTGGCCACGGCTAGTGATGAAACTTATTTACTTACTAAGGTAAGTTTGCGATAATGATTTTTAAAATATATAGATGGTTTCTTATTCCATTGTATTTGATTTTTAGGTAGCTCTTGTCATTGGCCTTTGTGGAGCATGTAGAAGAGAAGAATTGACTCTCTACGAGTGCAAGACATCATAGAAAAAGACAACAGCTGCCTTTTAGTTACCCTTGCGGATACAAAAACTAATATCAAAAGAGTGTTTCCGGTGGTGAACGAAGGGAACGTTGTCAATCCAGTTGAGTTGTATAGAAAATATGCTTGTCTTAGGCCAAAAAATGTACCACATGATTATGTCTTCATCTCTTATCGTAAAGGAAAATGCACCGTGCAACGAGTCGGCATTCATTCATTTGGGAAGATGCCATCGATTGTAGCAGCATTTTTAAAGTTGTCGAACCCAAACGAATATACAGGTCATTGTTTCCGACGTAGTTCTGCTACTCTTGCTGCAGATGCAGATGTGGATTTTACATCGCTGAAACGCCTAGGAGGTTGGAGGTAAAAATTTTAATATTTTCCGATCTTGTTCTAAACAACAATAATTATTTAGGTCGTCCACAGTGGCCGAAGGTTACATAGAAGAATCTATTGAGAAAAAGAAGAAAGTTTGCAAACTGCTAATGGGGGAAAAGAAAATCGCGACCACTTCCACGGATGTATTACCAAGTACATCATCGTTCGCATTTACTCCACCTCATCAGAAAGTAAATTTACCTGCCAATGGAGGAGTCGTTTCGATTGCAGATGCAAGTTTTCAAAATGCACAAAATTGTTCATTTCATTTTTATTTTTCCAAATAACTTAGCTTTTGATATTGTTAGTATTTAATAATTTAAAAATCAAATACAATGGAATAAGAAACCATCTATATATTTTAAAATCATTATCGCAAACTTACCTTAGTAAGTAAATAAGTTTCATCACTAGCCGTGGCCAAAAAATCACCGATCTCTTTTATGGACAAAACCTTAGACTTTTTAGGCTCGTAACCAACCGAATTCCTCTTCAAAAAAGCAATAAGTTTTGGAAATTTGTCAATATAAATATCTTCTTTAACACTTAACACTGCTCTCAGCATGGAATATTTCGACCAAATTGACGATGGTTTGAATGTTTGTGACTGTAATTTAAGAATATTTTAATTTAAAAGCCTCTTTTAAATAGGTACCTAGGTACTTACTTTAAACAAATAACTTAGCTTTTGATATTGTTAGTATTTAATAATTTAATTATAAATATATGTATAATTTTATGTGATTTTGTGACAAATTTCGAATGACAAAATAAAACAACCAAATAACGAATTTAGACATTTTAGTCCATAAAGGTTGCCATGACGACCTTTACGGCCTAGGCCGAAAAAGAAACATTTTACGGACTGAAATGAGTCCGTAAAATAGCTGTTTTTGGGAGCGTATGACAAAAAGTAATTTTTTAAAGCTTATGAAAAGATTTGGGCAAAGAAACGTCGTTCTTGGTCCTATTCAAAAGCGCCAATCTTTTGGGTCAAAGTCATATTCATTTCGACTGAGAGATCATTTTTTTCAGTGGATGACAGTATTATTCACAGATAGTGTATTATGTACCGTATGATAGTTAAAAAACGGCATTTAGCTGGCGTGGAAATGACGATCGATGACATTCTCCATATAATTTTAGGTATAAAAAACCGCGAACTTCATGTCAAAGCCATCGCTGACGCCGTTTTTTCGATCACATTATTCCACTTTCTTAAACAACAAATGCCCAATGTATATCGAATAAATATAAATAATATAAGAAACTTCAAAGCCGAAACAAAAAAATTGGCTAAAAATTGTCAGCTTATTTTCAATCGTTGTAAAATAAAAAATGAAATAACTTTTAACTCAAGACCATTATGGTGCAGTACAAAAAATATCGTAAAATATGACAACACCGACTGGCCACTATATCTAAAGAAGAAAACATTCGACCAATGTCTACTACCAGTCATGACCTATGCATGCTAAACCTGGACACTTAAAACGGATATTATAAGGAAACTGCAGGTCGCACAATGCTCAATGGAACGAAATATGCCGGAAATAACCAAGAAAAACAAGAAAAGAACAGAGTGGATACGACAAAAGATCCACGTTATAAATGTCATCCACAGAATTAAATCCCTCAAATGGCAATGGGTAGGACACCTGGCAAGAAGGACGAAAAACAGAAGTACCACAAAAATTACAGCATGGTACCCACGAGGAATTAAGGGACATAGAAGAAGACCAAACCCGAGATGGAACCATGATATTAAGAAATTAGCAGGGATAACTTGAGCCCGCATAACCAACAGTAGACAACAATGGACCCAACTACCAAGAGGGTATCTAAATATGTGAAGGAGGCTACACCATAATTGGAAATGGTTAAATAAGCTAAAAATTATGATGATGACACTGATTATACTTCATCTTCTTCTTTTACTTATTTGAGATCTTTCGATCTGTTAATTTTAAGGTTGCCTCTGTAGGAGTTCTTGGGAGGTGGACTGCCAACTGTCTTTCCCTCTTTTTGGTAATCTTCCCGGCTGCCTCTTACCCCTGGGTTTCCCTTCAAGGGCTATGCGTGGTAGCCTCTTTTCTTCCATGCGTTTTACGTGTGCGAACCATTGTCTTTTTCTTTGCCTACCCCATCTCACTACGTCCTGTATTCCACATTGTTGTCTGACAGTTGTGTTTCTAATTCTGTCTCTTCTAGTCTTCCCCATTATGGTTC